AGATGAACATGAAAGCTGGGACAAGCATCTAGTTCAAATTCAGAGGGGAATCAATAGTTCGCAGAATGCAACTACAGGTTTACCACCAAGTGTATTGTTGTATGGATTTAGACCAAATGCAGAAAATGAGATCCGTTTAGCTCAGGAACCACCTACAAACCTAGAACAACTCAGGACTTTAGCCAAAAAGCGTTGCGATATAAGGGCTAAGAACATGAAGCGTCGTTTCGACAGAAACAAAAGAAAACCTATGAAATTTAAGATAGGGGATACCGTGTTGGTAGAGCGAACTCACCTTATCCGAGGACTTACCAGCGGAAAATTGGTTCCAAAATATATTGGACCCGTAAAAATTATAGACTGTTAGGGGAGTGATAGGTACAGAGTAGTGTCATTCTCAAAGGATAAAAGACGTTTTAAAGGCGTAGTGGCCAGTGACCGACTTAAGTTATTTAAACCGCAGACTATAGACTAAATTAGAAAAACGTCTATGCAAATAAAATAAAATCATTAAGTAGAACGTAATTAGTAAATAGGGCGTTGTTGTTGAATGAATGAATAATTAATTGTAGCAATTTATAGTTGTAAGCTGTTTCTTTTTCAGTTATGAAAAGGTCTAGTGAACCTTCATGTGAGTACAATGGAATTGAACAAACTGAATTTTAGTGATCAGAAAGTTTTTTTTCAATCACTCCTAGCTTGTATAACTAAGGCTTCTTGTATCTTTTTGAAATAAAGTTTGACAGTTTGAAATTATATCAAAATTGGTTTAATTTTGAAAATTGAATATATTTGAATAAATATTATGTAGTTGAAAGATCACCACGCAAATTGCTTGGTGTAGGTTATTATACCAGTAACATTAGCCTAGAGTGCTAAAAAGTTTATCGTGTTCAATGTACACTTAGGCCTAGTGTGCTGAACCTCCATAAAAAGGTCCAGTGAACCTTCCTTCAAAAAAAAAGAGGTCCAGTGAACCTCCATAAAAAGGTCCAGTGAACCTTCCTTCAAAAAAAAAAGAGGTCCAGTGAACCTCCATAAAAAGGTCCAATGAACCTTCTTTCAAAAAAAAAAAGAGGTCCAGTGAACCTCCATAAAAAGGTCCAGTGAACCTTCCTTAAAAAAAAAAAGAGGTCCAGTGAACCTCCATAAAAAGGTCCAGTGAACCTTCCTTCAAAAAAAAGAGGTCCAGTGAACCTTCCTTCAAAAAAAAGAGGTCCAGTGAACCTCCATCAAAAGGTCCAGTGAACCTTCCTTCAAAAAAAAAAAAAAAAAAGGTCCAGTGAACCTCAAGAAAAAGGTCCAGTGAACCTTCCAGTTATTGCAGAGCTAGAAAGAAGCCCCGTGAGCTTCTAGACAAAAAAAAAAATAGTACATAACCCATTTACTTTTCAGAGTGAGACATAGCCTAGTGAGCTATCAGTTTTTTTTAGGTCGCGAGGCCGCTCCTAAGTCAGGACAGCCGAATGTTACACCACTGGCTATGTTTACCCGGCTTGGTACAATCAACCCGCCCCTGCAAGACAAGTACACGTGCACCCAACAGTTACGAAACAACCCTTGTGTAATGTTCGACTGTCAGGTACCAAAAACCAAGAAGTTTGCTAAGAGAAAAGGGATGAAAAGCAAAAAGGCAGGGATTGACCGTGGTCATAAATACTTTACCCGTTCCGTTGCGAAATAAATTATTGTTGAAATTTTGATTTGAGTTTGCTTTAACAGTACATACATGAACGTGCAAACTAAAACATCAAGGTGTATGCAAAATATCGTCGCGTTTTTGAATGTGCAATTTTGTATGCACACTCGGAACACCGTAGCAAGAATAGCAAGACTGCAGTTTTGTGCGAGCGTCTGTACAAAAGCGCCAAGCACGTTGTTGTTTGCACGTAAATGTATGCACGTATATGTATTAAAACATCCACGTCCGTGTGTAACCGCCCATTGATGTTTTTGTTTGCACGTTCATGTATGTGCGTACATGTTTTCAGACATCAACGTCCGTGTGTAACCGCCTAATGAGCCTCAAAGCAAAGGGAGCTATTGAAGCTATTTTTTACCCTGAACCAATGACTGATATAGAAAAAACTGTTCTTGCATATCTTAGTTGTCAAATGTTTTCAAAAAGCAACCAGAAGGAGCCATTAACACCTCAAAAACCGTCTGATCTACCATAGCAAAAAATTGGAATAGACTTTATGGTTACATATTAAAAATCAAGATTTTGTAGTAATGGTGGATTACTTCAGTAAGTTTAATGTTGTTAATATATCAACATTTAAAACAGCACAAAGTATCATAACTTGTCTTAAAAATATATTCTTTTTTTATGGAATAGTTCAGGAAATTTTTCCGAACAATAGCCCACCATTCAATTCTCAAAACTTTCACTTATTTGCAAAAAAAAATATAATATTGACTATTTTAGACGTCCTTTTGAGTTTTGACAACACACTGGTCATTCTGGTAAGCTGGGATGTCTCCAAACAGTGAAAATTCAAAAGATAGGTATTCAAGTTTACTCAATTTTCTCCAAATTTCTGCTTCCCAATTCTCAAATTTTTTTGTCTAAATGTTTTTATTTTTCCGACTCTTGAATTGTTTTCTTCGAAATACCTTCAAACAGAGCAAATTCAAAAGCCTGAAATAGGAAATACTAGCCTACTCATTATATCTACTATATTAGAAGTGTTCCAGTTCCAAAAGGGAAAAGGTCATGATAATGAGAGTCATTACAGTTTTGTTCTCATTCACCTAGTGCCTTCCTGACTTTCAGATATCTGGATTTCCTACAGATCCCTGGTTCACGCAGTTTGTCATCAGCGAATTGATCAATTAATCTCATCCTTATCTGGAAGTTTATTTAGGCAATTTTTCCACTCTAAACTATCCGCGAAAGCTTAAGCTTTTACTTTATATCAGAGAATACCTAGATAAACCCATTAAATCTGTGAAATAGTCTAATGATGGTTTTCTTCTCACAGATACTTTTGCATTTTAAAAATTTTCCTCCAATTTCTCCTCCTAATTTATGCATTTTTCTGTCTCAATTTTTGTTTATTCCCGGCTCTTGAATTGATCCTTTTAAATATCTTTACATAAAGAAAATTCAAGAGCCTGGAATAGAAACAATATATAGTGCGGCCGTAAAGTAAAGAATAAATTCAATAATTGAAGAGTATAATTTCTAAAGGGTCTAAGTGCCAAAATTTTGATTCTGAGAAAAACGAAAAAAATACTACAAATATGCTTATATAAAGCTTTTACTTACATCCTTTATCATCTTTAAATCAATATCAGAACCAAATACATGTATTGTTGCTACATAGACCATTTTTGATTGCATTGGGGTTGAGACTTGGAACCATTTTCAAACATTATCCCAAAGTTTATCAAGATGGTACTTAGACCCTTTAGAAGTTATACTCTTCAATTATTCTTCTAAGCAATTTTTTTAAAAATCCTCGAATACGTCAATTTTATTTTTTGTCTAGCATTTTTTATAAAATAAAATTAATCTATATGGTGGTCGCAGAAAAGCTGGACAGGTGGTAACTTAATTTTTTTAAATAGACACCCCTAATTTTTTTTACATTTTCGGATTTCTGATAAAATTCTAAGTACTTTTCATGAAACATGTCCTATACCTTAATTCAACTGTTTCGGAAATATTGACAGTTGGTAATTGACTTTTTTGCAACTTTGAGAGGCTGTAAAACCTAAACGGTTAATTTTAGAGGAACAACTTTTAATTCAATCCGACATTAAATTTAATTGGAATTTTTAATCATTTTTTTTCACTGATATCCAGGGCAATAAATCATAGTTTGATTATTTATTTTTGGTAATTGGTGTTCCCTGGGAAAGCCGTTCACCATAATAAGTTAGGATCCCATTTGTTGCTCGATTATACTATTAAAGGTAAGTGGGGTATTATCGAATACCGGCGAGAAATGGTCGAATTAGGATTTGCTGTTGGGTGTTAGTTACACAACATGATTTCAAGTAAATTCAGCCTATTAGGGCTATAATAGAATAGCTGAAAGCTTGAAAACTTTTTTAGATAAAATTGTTTTTATGTTTTCCAGATAAAGAGTCAAGTGATCATGATCTATATTGTAGCTAAAATGAAATGGTCACGCCTCTAAAGAGGAATAAAAAACCTTTCAAAATGATATTTCTTTTTGGATTTTTTCTCTCATCGAAATTTCTAAATGTATTGGGAAAAATCCAAAAATAGAAATTTTCAATTTTTTGCACTTTTCTCTAAGGGTAGGTATCTACCCCTTTTGGACTTTAAATTGGAAATCTTCAATTTCAAATATTCCGGTAATTAAAAGCGGAACTGGAACAAAATTTCTAGGAATTGTAACTCTTGAAAAGGATTTCCAGATGGTATTTAGCTGAAATCACTAGCATTTATAGTTTTTGAGAAAATCGAATTTAAAGTTTTGGACAAAATTTCAACTAAATTTCCACTTTGAGGCTCAATATCTTTGAAGCTTCACAAATTACAAAAACCAATTTTGCACGGGCTTATAGAGAATTTACTGCTTTTTCCAATGATATATGGATATTAATAATTTGCTCAAAAATAATGGAAGATATAAGCAATTACTCTACAAATGACTTTATCCAAAATTTCCAAACTTAAACCGTTTCCAAAGTATGAACCTTCAAAGTTAAAATTTTCTCAATAATTTTGTTTCATGTGGAGGACAACTCCTAATGCCCTTTTGTCCATTTTTCCTTTTTACAATAAAGCATATTTTGATTTGATTTAAAACACTAAATTACCCTTTTAAACGACTGTGGCCTGCCCAAAGGGTTCGGCATTCGCCTCAAAACACCTCATAAAACCGAGCCCATAATAAATTGATTATTTTCTTTTTCATTAAAACTCAATTAATTTTCTTGCAACCTGATTCATTTTAAAGTTCTATAACAAGAAATCATATGTAGGTATTCAAAATTTTTCTGAAAAATAAATAGAACATTACCTCTAGATAACCTAAAAGTCGGCACAGCACGTCCCCGTAGACCCAGTCCTTGATTATAGCCGGATAAACTGACAACGGCACGACAATAACGCCGCACAGCAGGTCAGCTACGGCCAGCGACAGTAAATAGCAGTTTATCACTTCCGACGGCCCTTAAATAAAACAAATCGTAAATTTATTATCAACCAACTAATGGTATTTGTTTTGGTATTATCATATAATGAACTTTAGCATTTATGTATTTTAAAAACTTGTAAATACTACAACTCTATAGACGAAAGTTATATTGTAAGACAGTAAGACCCTATGTTATCATTATACTAATAATTCTCTTTTCTAATGTTAATTATAAGCGTACGCCTCTGTCAAAATTTTAATAATAAAAACTGCTGACTAAGCGGTACTACATTGGATAGTACCACCATTCCGCCTACGTAAATGCTGCATCAGCAGTTATTTCTTATAAATACAGCCTACAGAGCTTCGGGAGCTTATTCTATTATTTTGTAGCCAGACTATAGTAATTAGAATCAGGTTCATTTGTTATCAACTTTTACGTCGCAGCAATTTGAGCTACATATTTTCTTTTGTCACCATTGTATATTTTAATTAATCAAATAAATGTTTTTTAAAAATACAAGTTTCTGAATATATAATTCGAATAAGATTGAGAATAAAAGATTTATCAGAAGAAAAAAACATTAGGGCGCAATTTTAGTATAAACTTTGTATATAAATGTGATTGATATAAACTAAACATTATCTCTTTGAAAATATCGTGCACGTTTATGGCTTGCAAGACTCCGCCCTTATTGACGTCTTTTATAATCCTGAAATGAATAAAGTTGCTAATACTTGAACAAGGGGCGGAGTTATAAAATCCATGGGCGTACTTTTTTTAGTTTATTATCGTCAAAATCCATAAAAAATTACTATTATTTGATTAGGTACTTTTTTCAAGAAGTTTTGATCTGAGCACTGGGTTTCTTAAAACTTGATGAGTAATTTTTCTTACCTCTAAAATTAACCAAAGTAGCGATGATCAGCACATTAGTGATAACGATCGACAGAGCCATAACGAAGATGATGCCGGCTTGAGTCAAAGATTCCAATGTGAGCACGATTTCCGTGTCGTCGCTGGTTTGACTGTAGATAATCATTGTCGTTGTGTCTCTCCTATTTAGCATTTTCAGATTCGAAATTGTGTTTTGGATCCTCTCTCTCTGCTGGTCTTTAGTCGTTGAGCATGGTTTTCGGTTTTGATGGGAGACCTGGAACGATTTTTTAGGTAAAGTTTCTAAGATTTTTTCTGGAAATTGAAGTTTGTAAAACTTTGAAAGAATGTGATTAGGTACCTAAAAAAGTTGTTTCGGTTTCTGAGATATTTCATAGTTTTGTGGCGACGTCAAAAATTTCCAGAAAATATAACTAAACTCAATTGGTAAAAGCATTTTTGTAGTCATTGTAATTAGAAAAGTACCTACGTCAGTTGCAAAATAATTTAATCTGAACTTATTAAATCTCCAGCATCTAATTCCGTATAAAAATAATATAAATAAAAAATGACGAAATTTCTAAACTCAACTCAAATAACATAACAATTTTTTTTCCACCACAAGCGATAAGCGACCGAATGTCAGAGTGCAATGTCCCCACTTAACAGACTCTTGCGACATTCCGATAAAAAAAAAAAAATCAATAAAAAATTACAAAATTAAGACGCGTTTAACCGGAAATCACTATACTCATGTGATTTAATTGCGTCATAACTAATAAACTACTACAACACCGGTGTTTCCGACAAATGTTGCATCATATCCTGAATAAAAACAATTCTTGGAAAACAACAATGTCGTTTATCCCTCGATAAACGAGGTCAAATAAGAGGATTGGTTCGAGAAATGCTAAATGACCGCCCATGTAATAGATTTTTGCTATTTAAGCAGGTTACAATCAGAAAAAGGGAGATAACATCCAGCAGTTGATTTGATAGTAAGATTTTAAGAATCAAGAGAATTGGCAGTGAGTGAGTCTCCATCAAAAAGTTTTTTATCTTTGTTTTGCCTCGGGCAAAAAGCTAAAAAGTTTGCGATTGACTATTGTCCAGTAAGAGTTATAAAGTAGTATCAGGTTTTCCTTTGTTATTTCATACCAATAACTTTACTGGTTTCCAAAATATATCCCTTTGAAATATATGAAAATCAAATCTCCATAAGTACCATCGTCACCAAAAGTAACTGGGACAGCATCACATTAGCTCTTGTCCTATTATATGAATTTTATTGTCAAACACTGAATTAAATGCATTGAAATGAATGACAGTAGAATTAGTCCAGGAGATTATTATGCATTATTAAATTTGTGTCCCAGATACTTTTGGTGACGATGGTACATACCACTTTGGAAAAATTCAAATTTTTAAATTTTTGGATTTTGCAATGTTTGACTTCACCAATCAAAAGAGGAGATCAAAATTAGTGAAAAAGCATTTTTGCAACTTTGTTTTTAGAGTTTTAAAGCCTTGTTAAAAAATAAAAACGATTTTTACAATTTTTGGGCTCAAAAAAATTTCAATAATCTGACATTCTTTCACAAAGTTGCTGATTACTCGGTTATTATTGTAACAAATACAATGTAAAAATATACATTCTGAATCAGAATTAAATTATCTTCAAGATAAAATAAGATTCAGTTCTATATCTCGAATACTTCTGAAGATATTGAGGCTCAAAGTTGAAACTTTATTTCAAATTTTGCAAAAGCTTCCAGGCGTATTATCTTGAAAACTAAGCCCTTGGGCTCAGAGTCTTAAATAACCTTTATTGTAGCCCTTATTAAGAGCTACAATTGGGCAAAAGATTCATGCCAATAACTTCACTGGTTTCCAAAATATGGCTCTTTGAAATATTTGGAAATCAAATTTCCATGCATACCCCTTTGGAGAAGTTCGAATTTTTAAATTTCAGTATTTCGAATTTTTGACTTCACCAATCGAAAGAAGAGGTTAAAATTAGTAGAAAAACATTTCCGCGACTTTCCTTTTTGGGTTTTAAAGCTTTGTTAAAAAATAAAAACGATTTTTGTAATTTTTGGGCTCAAAAAATTTCATTAATCTGACATTCTTTCACAAAATTGTTGATTACTCTGTTATTATTATAACAAATATGATGTAAAATTATACACTGCTCAACAATTGAAGTGGATATTCTAAAATTTTGTATTTATTTTGTCAATTCTTCAAAGTGAAGTAAAAAATCATATATAATAAAAACATTTTATCTCGCATTTTATTGATTGATTATATCACCCAGAAAAAAAAAACAAATTTTTAATGCAAAATTTTACATTTACAAGAAAACTGATTAAATTGGGAAAAGTAACAACATTAAAAAAAAATTTGTATCGCAAAATTCACAAAATCCCTATAAAAAACTAATATCGTGTTGGACCTCCTCTGGCCCGCCTTAGTACTGTCACTCTATTCGGAAGTCTCATTAACAAATTATTGATAAATTGCTGAGGTATGATTTGCCAAATTGCCTGCAACTCATTAGCCAACTGTTCTAGGGTTTGGGGAGGTTGTGGAATCCGGTTTAATCGCCTAGACATTTCGGCCCAAACATGTTCGATACAATTCATATCTGGTAAACAGGGTGGCCACTCCATTCTTGTAATTCCATGATGTTCTATGCAATTGTTCACAATTCTCGCACGATGCGGACGGGCATTATCGTCAATTAATACAAATTGTTCACCTATTGCACCAAAAAATGGGACGACTATCGGCTCTATAACCATGTCTCGATATCGTATGGCAGTCATTGTCTCATTAATTAAGATCACTAAATCAGTGCGACCATTATGACATATGCCTCCCCAAACGCAAACTGACCCACCACCAAAAAGAGTTGTTGGGGCCATTAAATGTTCATTGTATCGCTGTCCTCTTTCTCGTCAGACCAATATTCGACCATCACACGTATACAAACCAAATCTGGACTCGTCGGTAAAGAGGCAGTGCCTCCAATTTTCAAGAGTCCAAAGACTATGGTCTCTCGCCCAGCGATATCGGCATGCACGCTGCTCCGCCGTCATTCTTGGGTGGGTAGCGCGACGTCTAGCCCTCAAGTTACATGCATGCAATCTTCTTCTGATAGTTTGACCAGAAATCACTCTTCCAGTAGCTTGTCTGAAAAAGCTGTTAATTCTTGAAGCCGTGAATGTTCGGTTTCTTCTTGCAGTCAGGACTATGAAGCGGTCTTGAGCAAGAGTTGTAGCTCGTTCCCGTCCTCCACCATGTGTGTACGCTGCAGACCCAGTTGCTAAATACCGTGTAAGAGGTCTACCCACCAAAAAATGTCCAGGTGTTAATGCCGAAATATCGTCCGGATCTTGAGTAAGTGCACACAGTGGACGCGAGTTTAATATACATTCAATCTGAGTCAACACCGTGGCAAACTCTTCAAATGTCAATCGAATTTCACCCACAACTCGTTTAATATGGTATTTTGCCGACTTTATCCCCGCTTCCCATAATCCACCGAAATTAGGTGATGAAGCCGGGATAAAGTGCCATTTAATATAGTCAAGAGATAAATTATCGCTGATTTGAGAAGTATTATTTTTCAAAAACTCATAGACTTTTTGAAGCTCAGTATTAGCGCCTCTATAGTTGGTTCCATTATCAGAGTAAACATTTAATGGTTTACCACGTCTCCGTGGTTAGTCCAGACACCAGTTCGATATGTATGGCCTTTGTGCTCATACATACAAAAAGACACATGTAAGCCTTAATTAACTTCGCACCACGAGTTTGCCTATCCTTAATTAGGAAAGGACCTCCAAAATCAGTGCCAACATTTGCAAAAACATGATTAGGAGTTATACGAATTTCTGGCAAGTTACCCATTAAATAACTTTTTTGATCTCTTGGAGCAACACGAAAACACTTATAACAAGTTCTAACAACATTCTTACAGGCATTTCTGCCATTAATAGGCCAATATTTTTCTCGAACAGAATAGAGCAAATTTTGAACACCACAGTGTAATAATCTTTCATGTTCATTTTTTAGAATCTGTTTCGTTAAGAAATGACTATCTGGTAGCACGATAGGATGCTTACCTTCAAATGATTTGTTTGAATTTTCCAACCTACCCCCAACCCTGATTATTTTGTCCTTCAAAAATGGATTAAGAGAAAGTATTTGCTTGTTTTATCTATGGGTTTATTTTTACTCAAATTAGCATATTCTTGAGGAAAGCATTCTATCTGAACATGCCTAATAATATTATTTAAAGCATTATTTAACTCTTCTGGAAGCAAAGGGCCGATATTTCTATCGTCTTTTTTAAGTTTACTGTTAGTTAAATATCTGAAAATATAGGCTATTACTCTTATTGTTGTTCTGAATGCCGAAAACTTTTTTAGAATCCAAATTATATCATTACTATAATTTATCGATAAATTACACAAAGTTTTTGGTTCACAAATTTCTGTAATTTCCATTTCTGGCTGACTAAGATTCCATTCTGACGCATTCAACAAAAACCACTCTGGGCCATACCACCACAAACTCGAATTCATTAAAGCTTCAATAGAAATGCCTCTACTTAGAAGATCGGCTGGATTTTCATTAGATCTAACATGATGCCAGTCTTCAAAATTTGTAAGTGACCTGATTTCGCTAACTCTATTTGCAACAAATGTTTTCCATTTGCTGCTTTCATTCCTGATCCAACAAAGTGTGATTGTGGAATCAGTCCAAAAATAAAATTTATTAAATTCCAAATCTATAACACTTATTATTTTTTCTATCAAGTTCGCGAGTAGTACGGCACCACAGAGTTCTAGTCGAGGTAAACTTAATTGTTTTAACGGTGCCACACGTGATTTGGCACATAGTAAATTAGAAAAGTAAGAATTATTATCAATTACACATCGTAAATATATGCATGCTCCGTAGGCCTTGACCGACGAGTCACAAAATCCATGAAGCTCAATTTTTATACGTCGCGAAAATACTGCGCATCTAGGAATCTTAAGCTGCTCTAATTTATACAAATCGTAATAAAATGAGTTCCAGGCATTTAAAATTCCTATGGGAATTTCATCATCCCAATCAAGCTTTAATTTCCATAGTTCCTGAACTATAAGCTTAGCAATAACAATAATAGGGCCTAACAAACCTAACGGGTCAAAAATCTGACAAATTATCGATAAAATATAACGTTTTGTAACTTTTTCATTAGCAGATTTATTCAAATTATCG